CCTTATCAGTGCCGTATTTAGGAAAACTCGGGCCTTAGGCACTAAAACTATTAGGGGCCCTATTTTTGCATTAAAAAAGTTATTTTTTGTAGGATTATTGAGTAATAAAGTACGTACATTTATTAATTTAAATATTTACTAATGCACATATACCTTTACTTTATAAATATAAAAAACTATGTGGTAAATCTGGTATTTATTATTATTTTTTAAACATACTAGTTTTTTTTTTAAATAAATTTTACAAATCTTTCTTTATGTTTATAATTAGGACATTTGCAAAAACAACTTATAAAGGATATCACAATTTACGAAATTGGCATTGTTATACAATATGCTCTTATATATTTATTTTCCTATATCATTTATCGATAAACTCGTTTAGTAAATCATCAAAATCGATCTCGTGAAGAATATCTGATTAGATAGACATTAAGCTCAGCATGTCTAATCTATTTTAAAGCATGGTACTTCTTTGCTAATTTTTTATTCATTTTATTTTTAAAAACGAGCAATCCGCAGAACAATTTGTATTCATAAGCGTTAAAAAAATGCAAAGAGCTATTTTAACGTTCGGAAAAACAGATGTAAGGTAGCCAAGAGCTAAAGTTTCGTAAAGTTTAGAACAAAAGAGCTGAGTTTTTGATGTAAGTTTCAATTTGACGTAGCTGTTATATTTCCTTAATTCTGTATAAAAAGTTGTTAAGTTTTTAGAAAAATCAACAAAATTAGAAACCTTATGTTGATAGTAATTTTTCGAAAGTTCAAAGTTAGCCAAAAAAAAAAAAATCTCCGCAACCTCTAAGTAGTTTTTGTTTCGCTCATTGATCTTACTTATAAGCCTATCAATAATTACTATAAACCCGTTAATACGAAAATTATCTCGAGCAGGTAATATCACGGGGCATGAAGTTCTTAAAAAGTTCTTCCTTTTAGGCTAATCCGCGTCGTAACATTTGCGTAATCAATACCTCGCAAGATTGATTTAAGTTTTGAGATCACTTTGTTCTAACTGAAGAGCTGTGCTTGTCGATCGAACACTAATTAAAATATTGCTCCACAATACGAGCATGAAGACATTCAAAAGTTCAACTTTTTATTTGCAATACATTCAGCTTCGTGTCTGCTTTTACTTTTTTCAGAAGAATCTTCAGCAATCACATTCAAAGCTGTCAAAATTGCTTTAAATGAATTGAGAACTGCTTTAGCGGCATTTGCGTGAGCCGTCCAACGCGTTTTTGATAAAAATTTGAGTACTTTTTTATGCGTATTACACGGTATATTTACCGCATACTGATTGAGATTAGACACTATCGCTTGTACCCCTCTGTATACTTCCGACATATTTGCGGCATTGTTGTAAGACTGACCTCTAAAATATTTAAAATCTAAGTGACAAGTTTCGCCTGAAAATTTTAAAACCTGTTCTGCAATTACCGCACCGACGTGACTTTTCATAATTAAAAATGTTAAAAGTTGTTTGACTGGCTTTCCATACTTAGGCAAAACGTATCGAACAACTATACTCAGTTGGTCAATGTGAAAAATGTCTGGAGCTGAATTGACAGAAACACTAAAATAGCAAGCGACTACAATCTAATATTCAGTATAAAATAATAAAAATTTAATATTTAGTATAATGTGAAATTGCACTTTTTCTCTTATTATATTTATCAACTCCTCGTATATTGTTTTTAATAAGACGAATTTCCTTTACCTTTATCCGCATATGTTTCGATGTGTTATTTCAAAATGGATCTAACTGAGCCACAAGTTCTAGCAAACCCAAATAATTTCCATTATCTCGAACACTAAAATGTTTGTTTGTTCCGTGAATAGGTAAACCTCGTTCATTTCAGTAATTTTGCCCCGTTTGGAATTGAAGTTAACTGGTGTCACACACGAGAGAGCTTTGTTTTCTCCAAATATATGTCAACATAAATTCTCTGTGAACAAATCCATTTTCATGTTGATGCGTTTGAAAAATAATCTTCCAATCATTTTAGTTTACAAGGGAAACAGTACACACAACCACTTGTTGTGGAAAAAATAAACCATTCTCGCAACAAAAATTTCGCCATTTACTTTTTTCCCATAAAATGTGCTCTCTGTTCTGTGTCTAGGATTTTTCATTTTAAAATCTACGAGAACACTCAAACGTCCAGAATAATTTTGACACTCATGTGTGCCACGGATAATTCAAAAACTGACGTCATCTTTATTAAAATCGCTTCACTTTCCAGGATCCTTCTTAATAACAAATTCATTTTTGCAAGTAAGAGGATTTAACTATGTGTTGCTCAAGATCATTCGAATAGCTATCATTCTGAGGGTTTGATTCATTTTGATGAGCAGGAGAATCGCTGTTGTTAAAATGGTCAATTTTATCAGTATGTGATTGAACTTGTTACCACTTTCAAAATGCTTAGAATTTAATGAAACATACAATAAGTAATAATAAATTTGGTACAAATTAATTGCTAATAGTTTCAGTTTTTTTACTGGGTGATAGAGATGAGGGAACAGACCCTTGGATTAATGAAGTTAATTTTGGAATTTTCGCTAAACCAGAAGCATGGTTGATTTTTTTTTTTTTCGCTAGTTTAGATCTAGCGAAAAAAAAAAAATCTAGGCCACGATCTTACCTAGGCCACGATCTTACCTAGGTAAGATCGTGGCCTAGGTAAGAACGTGACCTAGGTAAGATCGTGACCTAGGTAAGATCGTGGCCTAGGTAAGAACGTGACCTAGGTAAGATCGTGACCTAGGTAAGATCGTGACCTAGGTAAGATCGTGACCTAGGTAAGATCGTGGCATGGTTTAATTTATGATAATGCATAAATAAACAAATGTCAATTTTCATATTGAATTAAAAATTGAAAATGTTCCAATAAAAACAGATTTACTCAGAAAATTAAATACAAAAGATCATCAGTTATATAAGTTTATTTGTGTAAACATGAAAAATGAAACAAACACTTTCTTTAAAGAATTATTGTTATGATTTAAACTACATAAAGAAATTAGATCACAACTGCTGCATGCAAAATCACAACCGCTACATGCAAAATCACAACCGCTGCATGCAAAATTACAACACAAATTGCATGCAATCAAAGTTTTTAAATTTTTGCCAGCAGCGGTTTTTAAATTTTTAGCAGCGCTTCTAAATTTTTAGGCAGCAGCGTTTTTAAATTTTTAGGCCAGACTAGGCCAGACCTAGGCCATGGCCTAGTCTGGCCTATTGGGTAATCCAGCACAGATCATTATAAATCTAGCTTAAATAAAAAAAGTTTTTTAATATTTAGAGAATTGTTTGACGAAGCTAAAGAATTTTTGGAAATAGAAGATGATGAATAGATGATGAACTATTAATAATAATTTAGTTTTAAACTTATTTTAAGCAAAAGTGTAACTTTCATTATTTATTTATTTTTATTTATATTTTTATTACTCTTATTTTACTGTATGAAATTTGTATGAAATTTTGTATGAACTTTTTCTTTGTCATTTTTTTTTTTTACAAAATATCTATAACTTTTAAAACAATGATATTTGATTTCTTTTAATGCCTAGATATTTACAAATACGTGAAAAATATATCAAGGAGAAAAATCAGATAACAACAGAGTTATTGATTTTTGAAATGGAAAATACTGGTTGGTCCCATAGTGCGTAGTGGTGGTGACAAAAAATTACGAATAATCGAATCCACTCATTTAATAAATGTTATGTAACTATATAAAGGGTTTTTTTTGTTTTTTGGCCGGCGCGATGTAACTTTTTAATGATCTTTTTATGGATTTTTAAAAATTTTGAAAACAATGTTTTTAATTTACTCTAAGTCTGTTACTAATAATCATTTTTTGTAAAAATACTACGATTTAAAATCAGAAAGAAGTAATTAATTAAAAAAACTAATTTTAATTTTAAATATTCCTTAGCTCATTTTATTCTCATTTTTATGCGCGCATTTTTCGTTGTTATTTTTTTATCGTTTTAAGATTTTAGTTTTACATTCAAATAACATTAAAGGTCGTCAGCAAACTACATCACGCAATTTTTGACCGTTTCGCAATTTTTGACCACCCTCCTTTCTACTCACAATATTGTAGCTCAATATTAACAATATTAGTAACATGTTCCCTGAGTAGTCACAAAAACATTACCCCTCCCCTTTAAGGTTTTTTTTTACTGTTTTGTTTAATTTTAGAGATTTTAGCTATAGGGGAAAACGGGGCAGCAGGGGTAAGTTAATACATTGTTTTAGAACATTTTATCAGAAAGTGCCAAAACTTAAATAAAACCTTTCTAATTGGCCATTTAATACTGCACTGTAGAATTGTGCGCATTCACGCTTGCGCATAAGTGATACTGGGATTTATGTGTTTTTGGACAAATACGTAACTTTAGGAGTATTATTTCTTTTTTACTCTACGAAGGTTTTATGAGGTTGTATGAATGAAATAACTATTGCAAAGATTCCAGTCAAAGTTAATTAGCTATTTTCAGTCAGATCCTTATTTATTTATTTTAATAGTTTCAGAATTTATAGGCTGTATATAAAAAAACGTTTTTTCGTTTTTATGTCTTATACCATGATTATAAGCGACGTTTTTGTCTTGAATGTTTTAACCCTTTGCGTCAATATGATTTTAAATATTTTGATAATCGGTTAAGCGATCCTTATTTTGTCGGCATGAGACAAAAATGCAACTAGTTTTATTATTATTTCGTTAGGGATAGTGCAACTCTGCGTAGCTAGCATTGGTTAATACCGCGTACCTGCGACAGATATTAGGTCTTAAAGTTATTAATTTATTTGTTTAATATTAATAGGCTACATCTGTCTGATACGCTAGTGTAATTATTTTTAATTTATAACCATTTATTAAGATGATTTGTCAGGAAAATAGATGTTAAATTATGTAAAGATAAATGTCATCATAATTAAATTATTTAGAGTTTACTTTAAGGTACTATAATAAAAAATATAATAATTAAAATAAATAAACGCTTTTTTTCTTAGAATTAAAGTACAAATCAGATTCATAAAATAAAAATTGACATATTTTTTTTTAAGATTTATATTGTCATAGTTACCATAATCAAAAATTTAAGACGTTTACCACATAAAACGTTGTAAAGAATGATCAACCCAACTGAAAGGTTTAAACAAAAACATATAAAATGTAAAACCGTTTACAAGTAAGTACATAAAATATTCAAGAGCTATTTCTTTAAAACTTGAAACAGGAAGATGAAGTTTAAACAAAATATATGGCACAATGTAATATCGAAATTCAAGCAACTTTTGAGGAATCAACACAACAGAAGTGCATAAAATAAAAAGAAAAACCCATAGTTTCTTATTTGATTTACTCATCTCATTGTACATAATCATCCAACTAATAAAATACGCAGGTATTAGCATGTAACGGGAGTACCAAGATCTGTTTATGATCTTTCTCCAAACATAGAATGTGTAATGTCTATTATCGGCTAAGAGGTATCTGTGAGCCATAGTGAAATGATGCACCATTAAAAACATTACAATAAAAGTCAAAATGCAAAACCATATGTTTATTTTCTTTATCGAAACTATGAATTGTTTGTATCTCGTCAACAAATGACAAGAAAAAAACATAACAAATATGCTAAAGTAAAGAACTTGTGGAAAATTCAAAGAAACTTCATGATTTGTTCGATCTCCAACAACCAATCCGTTATTTTTATAAACAAATACTACAAACCCAACAAACACCGACAGATATGGATAAAATTTTAATAAAAGTTTCCAGAAGTTGTTTAGGCCACCAAGTATAACATCAAATAGAGCTTGCAGTAAACCACGATCATTACTTTCAGTTGAATTCTGAGCGCTTAAAAATTCCAAACAGCTATTTGCGAAAACAAAAAAAATCCAGACAACATTTGTTTGACGGAAAAGAATGGCCAGAGTTCCACTTACAGCAGAAAAAAAGTGGTAATTTTTAAGTGATAATAAATAGCTTAACAAAACAAAACAAGTCGAACCTACATCTGTATAGTAAAAAAATGAGAAAAAATACAACAAAGGAAAATTTAAAAGGGTTAACGCCATTGCATCTGATTTAATGCCGAAATCTTTTGATAAGCTTTTCTAAAAGAAAAAAACTAATTTTAAATTATGTAAACAAATATATTTTAACATAAATTAAATAGGGAGATTTAATAGAAAAACAAATATTAGCTATTGTCTGGTTTGATAATAAAAAAACTTAGAACAAAAGAAAAAAAATGCATTATTATAAAATTCATTTGAACAAACCTCCAGAGGAGGATATACTATTGTCATTTTAGCCGAAAATATTACTCTTTTATTTTCATTTAATTTTATTTAAAGTTTTCTCTTAACCTTAATTTCAAAAGCACAAATCTTGCTTAACAAGGCCTCCGCCTTACAATCTTTCTGAAAAGCTTACAAGTAAGTATATTTCTGAAAAGCCTTACAAGCAATTATCTTACTGAAAAACCTTATAAGTATCTTTCTGAAAAGGCAGGAGGGCATCTTTTTAAAGTTTTTTTTTTATTTGTCTGAATAATGTAACTTTTGCCTTTTTTGTTTTTGTACATCCTATGTCATTTTAAATTGTTTATTATTTATCTTGTAATTTTTATTACTTTTCCTTCTTTTTTGCTACTACTAATACTGTATTACAAAGTTTTAAATATATATAATATGTATATTAAATATATAATAAATATATATTGTATGGAATACTGTTGACATTTCTGGGGCGGATCTTCTAATGATGCCCTTTTCGTTTAGACAAGGTGCAAAAACAAATTGTAAACATAGCTGGATCTGCTCTCGCAGCCAACCTTCAACCATTATCACATCGTCGTAATGTTGCTTCGTTTCTCTTTTCTACAAATACTATAATGGGCACTGCTCTAAAGAGCTAGCGTCTCTTGTGCCATTTACTAAAATTCTCTCTCGTGTTACTCGTCATTCAGTTAAGTCTCATCCTTTTTCTGTTGCTGTTCCTAGGTGCTCCAAAATCTCGTCTAGTTTTTTTCATTGAACATTAGCTCTTTGGAATTCGCTTCCTTCATCTTACTTTCCTGATTCATATAACTGAATATCTCAAAAACCAAAAGAAGTTGGTTACTCAAATTTTGAGAATTTCTAAATTTTTAAAAAACATAGAATTTTGCTTATATACATGAAAAACCATATATGAACAAAGTAAAAAAAATTAATGAAAGTATAAAAATTATATTTTTATTTTAGACAATGAATATTTTTTTAACTTGAACAAAAGCACACTTGCTGGTAACAATTGGTTTTGTATTGAAAACTTTAAAGCTTATCCATAAATAATGTAAAGCATAATTTAAAGTCAAAGTTTGAGCCAAAGATAACTTATAATCTGTAAGATAAGTTTGATAAGTTGTTTCAGCTAAAAGTATTAGTAACCATAGTAACCACCATTGTTTGCATCATTAAAAATGGTAATAAATCAACATGTTAAAAGAAATATTGAGCAATGCTTTTATATATTATCAGAATCATAAAAAAATACAAAATTATTTGAACATTTGATCCAGTATCATTTCAAGCTTGGACCTTGACAGCAAAAAAAATGGGTATTTATAAAAAAATGAGAAACTTGTTAATGTTCCAGAGGTTTGCCCAATTAAAAACTTTAGAGAAACTTTAAACACTAAGTTTACAATATTTAATAATCCAATAAGATAATAGTGTAGCAATGTTAAAAATAAAATTAAAAGTTTTATTTTTATCTCTACTTTTTACTCTTTTTGGAGTACCTATGTTTCAGAATGTCCAAATTTACAAATAAACAGGACTCATAAAAAATTAATGTCATATTTTAATCAAGTCAAATTTATAACAATTTTTATGTTGTACTAACTGACTGATACGGGTTAGGAGGTTCAGTATTAGGATTGGGATTATATTTTTCATTAATTGTTTTTACTTTTCTATAAAAATTCAACTTTATGCATAAATAAATAAAAATATAAGATGTCATAAATTTGCCTTTACCTTTTTTTTTTTTTTTGAAAATTCCAAAAATCTTACTCAAAATAAAATTTCCAATTTCCACTGAAAAATTATGAGTTAAAAACAGAAACAGTGAGCTATGGGGTTAAATGAAATACATTAATTGTTAACTTTTTTTAAACTAAAAAATGACTCTCTATAAACTCTTCATATTAATTTTAAACTGATTTTTAAAATAAAAAAAAACCTAAAAATAAAAACCATACACTAAAGAGCAAGTCATGTTTGCATTGGCCAAGGAATAATGTAGTGAATTTTTACTTAGCAAAGTTGTTTTATTATTTAGCTTACAGGTATGTCCACAACCATTTTTTTCTTTTTTTTTCAACATCTTTACTTCCAACAAGGTTGCAAGCAACCACTGTTAAATTTGGAAGTTACTAGAAGAGAAAAGATGAAGTTTATAGAGCAAGATAATGATTGACAGACAACTTAAAATATTACAAATAATATGAATCAGGAAAGCAAGATGAAGGAAGCGAATTCCAAAAAACTGATGTTAAAGGAACAAAAACTAAATGAATAAGAGTTTTTCGAGCACTTAGGAAAAGTCACAGGAATAGGATAATTTTAGTAAATGGCACAAGAGACCTGGGGCAGATCCAGCATTTTTGGTCTTCAAGATATCCAACTTCCAGACATGGAGCTAACTCTAAACATTTATATGTTTATACTTACATCACATAAAGATGCTTTGCAAAAAATTATGGTTATTGGAGCCTGGGAACAAACTAGCCACAAAGTTTTTGCTCCCCCAGCTGTCCCGAACGTGAGAGCAACAAGTCGATAAAATATTTTTTGTACTATTTTCAACTTGACTTATATTCATGGGGAAATTTTAAGTTTCATAGTATAATTTCTCAGCGTTTAAAAATTATCACCATATAAAATTTGCAACCCCCTCAAATTGATGGGGGTGAGGGGTTAAACTTTATATAGTCATAATTTTTGAACGCTAAAATATTTTACTATGAAATTTAAAATTTATTGATGAATAAAAGTCTAGTTTAAAGTAGTACAAAAAATATTTAATCAACTTATTGTTCTCACATTTGGGGCAGAGAGGGGAAGGGTGGCAAAAAATTTGGGACTTAATTGTTCCAAGGCTCCAATCATTGCAACTTTTTGCAAAGCATCCTTATTTGACATAAGTGTTAACATATAATTGTTTGGAGTTTGCTCCATGTCTGAAAGTTATCTTGAAGACCAAAAAATGCTATATCCACCCATGCAAGAGACGGTAGCTCTTTAAAGCAGCGTCTCTCTCTTTTCTACATATTATATTATATGTAGAAAAGAGAAAGATAAGCAACATTATAACAATGTGATAATGGTTGGAGATTAGGGCTATTGTTCATCTTTCATCCATCAGATGAAGATGTAGCATGTACAGTAGGGTGGAGTGAAAATAACTTTTTTAGAAATTTGTTATTCTCCCTGATTTCTATAGTTGCTATAAGAAAACTAAAAAAATGTGACAAAGATAAGCAAAATTGGACAAGAATTACCCCCTGCAGCAAATTCTGAAAATCGCCTAAATTGGAAAAAAATTTGATTTTTCCGATTTTTAGGTGATAAAAAACTATTTCTTCAAAGTTTATTCATTTTTTCAAGTAAATTATTAACCAAAAAAACTTTTTAGTTTAAACTTAATTGTTTCGTTGATATGTAACCATGGAATTGAAACAATTAAGTTCAAATCTTAAGTTTTTATCTGACCATTGCAGTCAAATTATATTCAAAATGATAAAAAATGATTTTAAAAATTTGCTTTTCTAAAAAGTTTTTTAAAAAAAGAAAAAAAAATCTATCCTTAATTAATTAATAAAATAACGTTATGCCTTTTGAATTGATAAAGATATAGGTTCCCCTAACAAAGGAAATTGTCGATAGACTAATTAAAGTTTACATACATAACCAACAGTTACATACATAAAGCATAGCATTTATATATTAGCCTTCAAATCAAGTTTATATGGTAAAATCCAGCATAAATAGCCTTTTTTAGAAGTCCCACATGGGCTTTTAAGAGCCAACACACCCCTGCACTTATAACACCATTATCTCAGCCTAAGTCATCTCAACCAAAAGAATCTAAAAGTATACTAGTACAACCACCAGCAGCATCAGTAACTACACCTGTGCAATTACTGCCTTCTGAATTTAATATTTATAATCAGGATATGCCCTATATCATCTATGCCTAAGTCAACTCTGGCTATTCAAAAGGAAATTGAAATCAAATGCAATCAGCTTAATTGCTTATTGCAGCTTTGCAACTAATGTTTCACATACATATTGACATAAAAAAACTGAAAAATCCTGACATGCTAAAAGAGAAAAAAAAAGTAAAGCGAGCTGCAAAACAACATTGATGAACAGCAAATAAAGCAAGTAACAACTCCAACAACAACAACAACAACAACAACAACAACAACAACAACAACAACAACAACAACAACAATAACAACAACAACAGCAACAACAACAACAGCAGGAAAATAAATCAAGTGTAAAAAGTGTTGAAAAGTCTTTCAGTTTTGAAGACTTCTCTAGCTGTCTTGAAGGGTTTGCTTATCTAGGAAAAAGCAAGAAGTTCACTAAAACTTGAATAAATGCTAAAGATGAATATCAATAAAAATACTCTCATCTTTGCTTGCATCCAGCTATTGAATTGTAGAAAATACTTTCAAAGATTTTAGGGGTAAGAAGAAAACTTCTGTTAACAAGTCTTGCACCCATTTTCTATTTAATAGATGTAAATCCAAACCTGTACTGTATTGTATACTCATCAGTTTTTGCTTGTGCCTCCTTGATAGTGCATATGCAACTCTTTAGGTAAACCTATTAACGAAAGTGCAGCTCAGTTCAATGTTCATGAAAGTTCAGCTCAGTTCACCTACTAATGAAAGTGCAAAACTCAGTTCAATGGTTTTGATGCCGGCTTTAGGTGTGCATTGTTAAGGTCATGTAAAATATCTTTTGTTTCCTTTATGAGTTAATATAGAGGAATAAGGCAAACACATAGCTTACTGCCTAAAGTGTCATACTTATCAATGGTTGAGTAAAGT